AAGAGATTTCGGTAATAGTTCAAGGTCATAGGGAAATCTAGGTTTGAGAATCTAAGATAGCATAAAACGGTATCTCCCGCTCTTTTAACAGATTTTGACGCGAAGAATTTGCGCGCGCGATTCGAGTGGTGTTTTCTTTTTGCATTTGCTACGTTACAACTTCAACACTACAGTATAAATTTATTAATAAGTGTAGCAAATAAAGAAAAACATTAAGGTGAGAAATGTTGCATAATAACTTAAATATCTTAAGAATGACTAATGAAATTAGTAAAATAAATCTAGCATAAAATTTGAAACAAACTTTTCGGAGATTTTGTTACAAAGTATCACAATAAATAACTCGAAAAATACATTACTTTTCACGAAGTGTACATGTTCTAAGTTCTTGTGGTTTCTTAAATCTTCATCATAGCTTTTCAAAAAAAAAAGATTAAATTTTTTGTATTTGATTTTTCAAATCGTAAAAATGTGATATTTATGAAGTGAGGAATTTTTAGAATCGAGATAAACGAATCTGAAAATAATTACTTTGGACTTTTTTTCCCGACTGATAAACAGCATTTCATTTAAAAAGGATTTCGGAAAGAAAGAATTAAGAGAGGAATTATATCAGTTTTCGTTGAGCACGATAAGGTCAGACATTTTCTACACTTGAGATATTTTTCTTTGACTTTGCTTTCGTTCAAACAAAAAACATTAAATAAAAATAAATTACGTAAAATATAAATACAAAAGGCTTACCTTCTCAGAGAATGATAAATTTATCAAAACAAACTACTCGTCAGTGTTGCTCTGCTATTTCTTTAATAAAAGGATTGACGTGATTGTTTGAAGTACAAGAAATCCTACTGATAACTTCGTAATATTAGTTCAAAAAGATATTTTTAATTATCGCAGTATTCCATGACCTGTGTTGAGAAACAAGAACCTGTGGGAGAAACAAGCTCGTATTTTATTCGTAATTGAGGAAAGCGATAACAGCATTCTTAACAAAAGCTTCATTTGATAAAATATTGATAATTATGAATTCCATGTGATTTTTAGTATAATGATAAAACTGAGTAATATCTTAAAATAGGCATTGCTTCGTTTACTATGTGGCCGTGGTAGCCTAGTGGTCAAGGTATCGGATCGTGGCTGGCCTTGTCACGAGTTCGTGCCCAGTACCACTAAAGATCCGCCGTGTAGGGGAGCAATGCACGTTGAATCTGTCGAGAGCTCAAACATCCTCCTGTTGGTGAGGTGTGGTAGTTAGGAGAGGGGTTGCCAGCTCAGGTGTCGTCCACGTCACTTGACCATGGTTCAAAATTAAGTGGTCCGTCGCCAAATGCCCTCGTGTAGCTGAACAGTGCGACGTTAATATTCACTCACTCACGCGACGAACCTCATAATTTTGAACAATGGTCATGTGACGAGGACGACACCTGAGCTGGCGACCCCCACACCTAACTTCCACATCACACCAACGGAAGGACGTTCGAGCCTCAACAGATTTAACGTGAATCGCCCCCAACATGGCTTCAGCTGTACTTTGCTCGAATTCATGACCCGCCTGCTACGAGTCCGTTACCTTGATCACTAGGCTACCCCGCGGCCACACACTCACAGACTGATGCGTTCTCTTAAATATTAATGGGAGAAGAAAAGAGTTTAAATAAGTATTTTTTTAAAACTAAATTAAAAATACTGAAATTTGTGTCCATTTCTAATTAGAAAAACAAAATAGCGCTGTTGTTGTTACTTATGCCACTTGATCGGCTTTAACATCAGATCAAGGCCCACCCATTTCATCACGGCAAAGGGCTACTTTTACGCCTTTCATTAGCCGTAGCTTTGAGCACCACACAGGTGACTGTGCGATTTGGGTCGTTTCCATCCCAATTTTGAGGGAGTACACTCTAGGGGAGTTCAGTGCCCCCACCTCTCTTCCCCTTACACCAGGGGTGGGCTGACTTTTCCAGGGCGCGGTCTACTTCTAATTTTTTCAATCTGTTGCGGTCCACCCAATGTCAGTGGCGCGTACAAGGAGGGGGGAGTCACTGGTCCGGAGCGTCCCCCCCGCAGCCCTTGATTCTTTTTTACCGATTGATTTTAATTCCAGGTATACATTTCGATACACTTAAATAAGTAATTGTTACTAATAATTTTTTTTATTATTTAATGCTGAGTATTTATTTAGTAATTTATTTTTTAATGGTTTTGTTACCGACAATCTAAACACACAAAATTAAAAAGAATATGTTTGGCTGCGTTTTGTGGTATAACATCAGAATGGTAGCCTTTCGACCCTCGGCCACGCCCCCCCTCCCCTTGAAGAATCTAGTGTGCGCCATTGCCCAGTGTCGTAGATGTGATGAAGTAGGAAAAGGTCTGCAATATTTATTATAAATAAATAATAAATACGAAATATGTACTTACAGAACTAAAATTTTAAAAAAAACTAACATCTTTTAAACTGCTTTTAAAGCAAAACACAAAATACAAGCATAATAATAATAGCTACAATTATAAATAATATCAAATGATACATTTACTATCAAACAATTCAGAATACATTAAAAAAAAGACATTTATCTAAAGTTTATCTTAGTTTTTTTCTAAATATTTGTATGTAAAGTTAGTTTTCGTTGTTATAGTCAGTAGAAGACTTATATAGTCTGCATACTTCAGTCAATCAATCTTGAATATTTCCGTTTATAATTACTAACTGCTAAAATCTTCAGGCGGTCACCCCAAAATGTCTCGGCGGTCCACCGGTCGACCGCGATCGATGTAATGCCCACCCCGGCCTTACACCAATCGCACGAGATGACGACTTGCAGTTCAACTGTTATTTAGAGTACCCCCATGCCACAAAGGCACTGTACATTTACAAACATTCATGTCTTCTCCGGGACTAACGGCACAGCAGTGAGTGTCCTTAACCTCTATACCGGATGGGCAGTTGATGCAATTCATAAACCCGTTTTTCATATTAGATATGAAAATTCAAAAGCATTGAATAAATACACAATGTTTCACTTGAATATACTAACTTAAAATTCTATCCTGTATTAAAATACACCACGATATATGACGCATAATGTAGGGGGGGGTAATTGATTGATTGAATATTAACGTCGCACTGTTCAGCTACACGAGGGCTTTTGGTGACGGACCACGTAATTTTGAGCTATGGTCAAGTGACGTGGACGACACTTGAGCTGGCACCCCCTCTCCTAACTACCACACCACACCAACGGGAGGACGTTTCAGCTCTCGACAGATTTAACGTTCATCGCTGCCCTACACGGCGGGTCTTTGGTGGTACTGGGCTCGAACTCGTGACGAGGCAAGCCACGGTCCGATACCTATACCACTCGGCTACCGCGGCCAAATGTAGGGGAGGGGAGGATTGTGTGATTCAAACACAAATATACATACTGCTTTTTTTCCCCTACGTATTAGAAGAGTCACAAAATGGCAATAATAGAATATGTTTTTAATATGCAAAATTGTTGTTACTTGAGCTCTATTCTTTAACATTAGGCTCGTTGACTAAATTTTCACTGTTGTGGTAGCTGAATAGTTATAGTATCAAGCTCGGGTTCGACGATGTTTCAGTGAACCCGCGGGTTCGAATCTTGATGTCACTAAGCACCGCTAAGGGAATGATATACGTACCTGTCGGGACGGCTTAAGGCATGGGACAACTGGGCCGCGATGGGGGCCTAATCTTGTTCTCGGCTAAGCCTTGATAAGATCATGATTCCAATAATTTCAACGGCCAAATGTTATTTCCGATTGTATTCTCCGAAAAACTGGGAATTTCGGAAGATACGTCAACTAGTGAGTAAGTGAATATTAACGTCGCTTTGTTCAGCTACACGAGGGCTTTTGGCGACGGACCTCGTAATTTTGAACCATGGGCAAATGACGAGGATGACACCTGAGCTGGCACCCCTCTCTCCTAACTACCTCACCACACCCTCGGGAGGACGTTTGAGCTCTCGACATATTTAACGTGAATCGCTCCCCTACACGGCAGTTCTTTAATAGTCTTAGGCTGGAACTCGTGACATGCCAGCCACGATCCGATACCTTGACCACTAGGTTACCGCGCTCGTTGTCCATGTTTAGTCCTACCCACCATACACATCGTTATTCATTCAGTCAAAAGGCAGCAGTCGGTCGAGCCGGTTTGTGAGATTATAAGTCATTCACATTTATTTGTTTGGGGCCTATATTTGTGTAAGGGCCCAGGGCCTCAAGAAGTCTTAAGACGTCCCTGCTATCAGGCTCAAAATCATTGACTAGAAGAGTAACTTCTCAGCTCAGGTAGAGTTACATCTCCGATCAAGAGGAAATAGATATTAGTTGGATCTAAGTTAAAGAAGCTGTAACTCTTCAGGTTATTAAAAATAGTGGGTACCTTACAAGTAGAAATATTCTCACAAATCCTATTCCAGTTTCTCTTCTGTTTCAAAAGTAATTGCAAGTATTGTCACTTGAATTTTATTTTAAAAAACTCATTTTCCGTTTTCAATTTTTTGTTTATCTAAATAATTTTAGTGTAGTAAATAAGTCTATTTTTTAAATAATAAGTCCAAATAATTTGCTTTTCAGTATTTCCGTTGCTATATACAGAAGATAAAATAAGTTTTTATGTACGTAGCGAGTGAGAGTTAAGCTGCATTCCCACCAAGGCAGTCAGTGTCGAGCGTTAAGCGTCTAGCCAATCAGAGACTTCATCTAGCCCGAGATGAAGTATCTGATTAGCTAGACGCTCAACGCTTGACGCTGGCTGCCTTGGTGTGAATGCGGCTTTATACTAACGACGCACTCTATAAAGCAACATGAGGGTTATTAGCGACAAGCTGCATAAATATGAGCCTCGGTAAAGTGACGAGGATGACACCTGAGTTGGCAAACCCCTCTCCTAACTACCACAGCAAGCCAACAGGAAGACTTCGAGCTCGAAAGATTTAACGTGCAACACATCCCTCAACATCGCCGGTCTTCACTAGCACAGGATTCGAACCTGCGACCAAGAGTTCGTGACCATAACCACTAGGCTACCGTGGATTTTATGTGTGTACGTGGTATTGACACATGTTTAATCTCTTTTTCAATTCCTACTATTAGTTCACACTCTTCCCTCTCCCTATATATATAGGAAGCGGGGATATATATGTAATAATTCCCCCTAGTATCCTTTTTGTTAAATCTTTGTATTAATATTTAAACAAACTTTAATTCTTTAGTTTAAAAATAACATTGTAATCTTAATCGTAATCGGCTAGTTCGAAATCCCTGTCCCGCCCATTTTATCCAATCAGAACTACTATTACGTAATAACCACTACCGGTATAAAAGCAAAGTTCTTGTGTAATCGCTCTTTTTTTAGATACGGGATTAAGGGCTCTTCGAACCTAGGTGCCCGAAAAAATTCCCGCAGATAGTCGCTCTTTTTCGTCTACCTGCCTTAATCATGTAATCAGCCTGCTGCAACGCATTCTACGTTTATCTTTGTTTGTGTTTGTGCTATGATATTTGCTTCTTGTATGTGTAATGCCGTCCCTACTAGAACTTTATGTGTTTCCAGATGTGAAATAAAAGAATAATGATTCACAGGACTGCCTCTTCGATAATACCGTATTCGACCACGCTCCACGTAACATAGAAAATCACACCACTGGCCACGCCCTATCTATGGTTCGCTACAATAATAACATCCCCTCGCCACGTCTTACAATAGTTTTACCAATCTTCAAGAAATATTATAGAAATATTTCATATATATATTTATATATCGTTCAAATTTTCAATCGTTAATAAAAATTTTTATTCATCCATTCAGGTTCGAATAAATTTTTGAAGTTAACTTCTTATGGCACGGTAGGGAGAAATTTCCGTTACATGAGTTACCAGTTACGTTTAGCGATGAATGTAAGGTAGAAATGAAGTTCGAATTTTCTCCTCGTTTTAAAAAACGCCATCTAATTCATACTATCTCAGACAAAAAATAATTGCAGAATCGGAAAGATCATTCTTTTCGCCACGATATGGTATATTTTTTAAACAAAATAATATTTTCTATTTTTTACGATTTTTTTAAAATGAGTCAAAATTGATACGCTTTTATAAAAAATGGTTTCTAAATCATTCCCTTTAAGTTTCCTTTCGAGTTAAGGAATTGATATTTTATTCTAAACAAGTTCATGCTTTTCTCTTTTAGAATCAGTTATAAAAAAAAAATGACGAATATTTTTTTTTTTGCGAATTTTTAAAAAATACTCAGTTTTAATTAAATATTTAATAACTTCATTATTTATAAAAAAATAATCTAACGAAACTTTTTTCCATATGTAGAATAGTATTATCCGTAATCTATGCAAAGATTGAAAAAATAGATTAAAAATTACTGCTTTTAAAATTTCTTTTGTTTTTCGTCTATTAGCCCTGAGCTAGCACCCACCCTCCTCTCCTCATTCAACACCAGCTTTAACAGGCATTTCCTCTTTTAGCTTTGCGATACATACTTTGTTTTGTTTTTACCTTACCTAGAAATCAAAACTAATATAATCCATTTTAAGAATTTTAAAAAAATCGGAAGTGAGTCTTTAATTTACCCGAAGTAGGCATTTAAATGGTTCAAAATCTGTCAAAAAATTAGTTTAAGGTGAGTTTGTTGGATATACAGTTTTAAAATTCTTTTAAGGAAATAATTCAAACAATCTATTGTTTTAAAATTTAGTGGCAACACAACATTTCTCCCAATAGTTTAGCAATAAAAGATTGTGTTTACTAAATTTTCAATCGAATGGAATTTCTAAATCCAGTTTAAGAAGTGAGTTTTTAAATCATATATATGCTTTGGTGTAATTAATTTGATTATTGTGAAAGTGTTATATAGTGCTTCATTAATTTGTATTTTAAGACTATTTCAAATATTAATTTATTAATTAAATTAAAAAATGAATAAATAGTAACAAAAATAGTTCAACACCATATATAGAAAGTAAAATTGTTCGTTGTGTCCCTATAGCGCAATGGATAGCGCGTTGGTTTCGAATCCCACCAGGGATGGCCTAATTTCTGAGAATGTGCTTTCTTTTTTACTATACTATTTTATTAGAATAATTTAATTAAATGAATGAAAAGTAACATACAAAAAAAATAGTCCAACACCATATATAGAAACCAACACCAAAATAGAAAATTGCAAGATCACTTTCTATTTTGCCACTTAATATTGTGATTCTGTCATATGTATATACATCTTTATATTAATTGTAACTATTTAATAAAAAGTAACTAAATTAAAAAATTTCTTTGTTAACCTAAGAAGGAATTGACTTAATTTTTTTTATACTTGTTTACTTTTTAAATGGATTCTTATCTTAGTCTAAGAGATTAATTTTTTTTAAAACTGTTGTATAAATTTAACTACAGCTATTATCATACCATCTTCAGCGATACATTTGCTTCTTTTGATATAACGTGGAATTGACCAGCTCTTTTATTATTATTTTATTTTTATTTTTCCCTCTCTTTTAATACATTTCTTTACATATAAAACTTATTTCTATCGAGTGGTGTAAGTATAAACTCAAAATCCGAGTCGTACAATAAATTTTCGTATTAACTATTTAGTGTCACGAATGCATAAGCTTTAAAGTTCAGTGAAAAACTGATTAAGTAAAATGAATCCTTTATTCTATCATTGCCATTAAGATCAGCCCACGCTTGTTTCTACATACGTATACACCAAACATAAAAACTAGTTTGGTTTGATTTGGTAGTTGTCGCACCAGAACTGAAGAGTATTATAAGAGATGGAATTCGTAATTATTTTCGAATCAACCCAGAAAACAAAAACAATTTCTGACGAGCCTTCACGATTTGGAATGAATCGACCTCATTGTTTTGCATATAGTCAAAACCCGATTTAAGGAATTTTTCTCTTTTCCCGATTAAAATTAAAGCAAAATCCTATATTTAATGAATAATAATCCCCAATTTAACGAATTATTTCAACAGCTGAAAAATTGCTTTATTATTTTGTATAAGAAAAAAATTAGGTTTTTTTTTTCGAATGACATATCCCTTTTGTCCGGAACAGAATTTTTTTTTTTTTTTGTAAGTAACATATTTCTTGACGGGAAAGGGTGTAGACTATTATTAGACTTTATAGTTGTTGCGGATGAGAGTCATGAGTGTAACCCAGTGGCGCACACAGGGGGTTCCGGACTCCCCCAAAGCCCTTGACTTTTTTCGATTGATTAAATTCTAAGTAGTATATAGTACGTAAAATTTAATTATTTGTTATTAATGATTAATTTTATTAATTAATGCTAATTATTTATTTAATAATTAGTTTTTTACTGCGTTTTGTTCCCGAAAATCGACAAATTCAAAAGGAGCATGATACAAGAATGGTGAACTTTCGACCCCGGACCCCACCCCCTTGAAAAATTCCTGCGCGCGCTACTGGTGTAACATATCATGTGAGTTTTGAATAGGACTGTAAATTCCTTTATCTCATCCCACTCTGCAACGCAGAGGATATTTGAAGATTTTAACGATTATGTTGCATTTGATTAGACGGTCTATCTGTACAATTGAAATTGAGGAAATTGTTAATTTGTCGGAGCCAACGTAATTCTGACGCAGAAATTGATGATGAAACTCCTATCAAAATTATTATATTTTCTAATGCTTTATATTATTTGTTTGTGTGTGGAAACTGTGTGAAAGCATACTTTATAAAAAAGACAATATTTTCTTTTCTGCATAAAGTCAAAAAAGAACTCTTTCGAGTCAAGAATCAAAAAAGATTGTCAAACATCAATTAATCAGTATTTTAAAATACCCAATTACATGGTGAGTAATAATTCACAAATAGTATTTTCAGCTGTTGCGTAAGAAATATGTGATTTCTGACTGGATATATTTTGTGTAAATGCTTAGTATAAAATTTCCAAAAGGAAAGGGCAAAAATTTCTATTTTGTTTGGACTTCGATATAACGAATAAAATTAGCAAAATGTTTGGTCTCAATGAACACGTTAAATCGAGGTCCGACTGTGTATGCATGAAATTCTATAATGTAGATTTACGAATCCAAACTTAAAACCGTTCAGTTTTAAGGAAGCTGTCGTACTTCCAATAGCCTAACCTTGTTTTATTCAAACCATTACGCAGTGGCGTAACGGAGAATATTAGGGCCCCCTAGGTTTTGGGCTTCATGTGGAATCTTACAAAGGATTTTGCAACTTGGTGTCAGTCAGGTTTTGGTCCCCCTAGAACCCTTGCCCCTCCCTGCAATGCGGGTGTTGTGGGGGTGTAAGTAACGCCATTGCTATTATGTGCCAAATAGAAAAATTTATATTATTTGCAACAGAAATTTTTTGATATGCATATAAATTTGTCATTTCTTCGTTTCAGCTGCTTTCTCAACAAAAAAAGTATCTTTAAAAAATATACTTAAAAAAAATCGATTTTTTTTTCTTTCAAAATTTTTTCCTTCTCTTTGAAACTGCCAACTAATAACTTCTACCAGTGGCGCTCACAGGAATTTTTTTTCAAGCGAGAGGGGGGGCGAAGGGTGAGAGAAAGTCCACCATTTTCGTATCATACCCCATCCTCCGCCAAATTCTTTTGATTTTGTCGATTGTCGGGAACAAAAAACAAAAAATAAACTATTGAATAAATAATTAGCATTAATTAATAACATAAAGTGTATTAATAACTATTACTTAATTAAATTTTATGTACTGTATACATATAAGTAAGATTATAATTAATCGAAAAATGAAGGGTGATAGACGAGTCCAGATCTGTGGACCCCCCTTGTTTGCGCCACTGACTACTACACAAATCTCTCTCTCTCTCAGGTTTGTTTTTCAAAATCAACATGGGATTTAAATAACCAATAATGTGTTTAATTCGTCTGCTGTTGAATTTTTCACTGAAAATAGATATTTATATACAAATATAATTTTTTGTAAATAAAAAATTTTAATCTGATCAAAGCAAGTAAATTTTGGTAATATTAAATTAAACGATCAGTTAAGATTTCTT